TTTTGGACTAATGACACTCACTCGAGTAATATCACTGATCATTAATAATTATCAGAGAATCTTAATGCATTTTGGCCTATAAACTCCCTATGTACCCTCATTGTCTCAACAGAAAACAAAGATAACTAGTAGTTTTCATCTCTACTCTTCTCTATTATCATAACTCCAAATACTAATCGATTTATAGACATAACCACAAAACACCGTAAATAATAAATACCAATATATACAACACCAAACCATAAATGATACAAAACTGGACAAAAGATCGGTAAGTAAGTAACAATAATTTATGAACGGTAAAGCTTACGACCACAGTTAACGAATATCAATTATACCTTACAGTAAGATCAGTACTAAAGTACCATGACACAGGCATTTAATAAAAATAAAACAAAAATCTGTATCATCGTTATTGACGGAATAGTCCTAGAAGTTTCACTTCTCCCAAATATCCACTCCATTTGGTAACAAGTTTGGAAAATTCATCTCTCTATTCAGTGATTATATTTTATCTAAAATCATGAACCGGTCTAAGTTAGACCAGCATTGAAAACCTGCAAGCAGTGGAAGGTAGTTTTATCCTACTATAAAACTACTCAAGAGTACACATCCACACAGCAATCGAACTCAAAACATCCGGTTTAGCACGTGAACACTTAAACTCCAAGCCATTGAGTCGGCATTCAGAAGTGTTTATGTCTAATCTCAATCAGTCCACAACATTGTGTGACCATCTTTCATTGTCTTTGGTAAGAAACCGTCTTACATCCTACTAAATTTGACTCCACTGGTCACGGCTTATCAATAGAACTGTGGGAATTTCTTCTCGAATCTAATCTCTATTGTTTATATGATAATTAATAGTATTGTGGTTGTTGATATTGTTGAATTTCATTGAAATCATGAACCGATCTAACGTTGGGAATTGATTGAATTTAAACATCAACACCGTCCGATGCCAACTCAGTGGCTTAGAGGTTAAGTGTTTACACACCAGACCGAATGTCTTGAGATCGATCACCGCGTGGGAGTGGGTCGTGTCCGTGCCCTACTAAGTTGATTCACATTAAGACAAAACAACTATCCACTGCTCACAGGCTTTCAATGGTTATCTCACTAAGATCAGTTCATGATTTCAATCAAATTTAACAATCTTCACTACTCCATACTGACGATCATATTTTAGTTTATTGTAACTTTATACATTCGATGTTTGTATGTATGCGTGTGTCCGTACGTGAAGGAAGTATAATATGTCATTTTATAGTCATTTAGTTCATCGACCATTCCTATCCATCTACTTCTTCATTCAACAATATATTACTTCTTCTGACTAATGTTTATCATATGCGTATACTTAGTTTTTACAATAGACATATCATAACATTAACAATTATTTTGCAGAAAATAAATTGGATATGAAAACTTGTTTTTATTTTGTTTCATGGTACTGTTTTTATTTTTGTTTTTTTTTCAAATTTTTTTTGTATTTTTACCATAACTCGACTATTTTTCTATTTGTATCACCATTCTACGATTTTTTCAACCTTATTAATCAACACTGACAAGAATTGAGTTTTTTTTCAATTTCCTATTTTGTTTCAATGAAGTTCTAGACAGTTGACAATAAATCATATTTTACATATTTGGATTATTATAACAATAATGTGTATATATGTATATAATATAAACTCGTTATCCTCTTCTCTTTTTGTTATCTTTTTTATTAGTAAGATGTTATGGAGATTGTTGAGCGTAGATTGATATCATGAATGAATCAATGTTAGACCATCATTGAAAATATTGAAGCACTGGAATGCCTCTGTGGAATACCATATTGGAATGAAACTACCGTCCAGTGCTTCTAGGTTTTCAGTGGTGGTGGTGGTGGTGGTGGTGGTAGTGATCTAACATTGATCCATTCATGATATCAATCTAAGCAATGTTATTTATTAGTTTGTCAACCATGGTTAACTCAATCATCATAAAACATTTTACACTCATTATTTGTATTCACCGAAAGTATATGTGATAATTATTTATTAAGACTAAATGTCAATAAATCAGTGTGTGTTTTTTTTTTTACCATAACACTATCATTCTCTCTGTCTCACTTCCCACCGTTATAGAATATCATAATTAAACTGGAAATTCATTTTTTTAAATTATCTTATTCAGTTAAACGTGTACGAATTATTTAGCCGATTATCAATTGGTGTTTTACACATTCACACATCAATAGTGGTATAAAACTGTCACTTTTCTGTATGACTTTTATGATTGTGGTTTTGTTTGCAAAAAAAATGATCCTCTGCATTTTCCCATCGGAATTGTTAAAACTTCCTTTGTTTACACGTATATATTTCACACTAAATCATGTAAAGAACATCAGTATAATATTGTTACTACGCCTTTATAGACAATCAATGGTTAAACAAAATTACATCTATGTTTATACTTGTGTTTACATACACTTGTATGTATGTGTGTATGTGTGTGTGTGAGTTTATGTCAGCTTATGTAATAACTTCTAATGATAATTTATTTTATCTATAATAAACTTTTTACGTATTAAGAAAAATAGTGTCTTTTTTGTACCAACTCCATTCCTATCTCTATACATACCCGGTTACAACACACATATAAAAAAATGAATCACAAATGAAGAGAAAAGAAAGGTGTATTCAATATTTGAGATAACATACTGAGTTATTGATTTATTTTACTAGGATAAAAATGCTGTAGGTTTTACAATATGATTATCTTGTAATCGGGAGGGGGGGTGAGATATTATGTAACAATGTGAAATCCAATTAGGAAAAGGTCTGATCAACTTTAAAATATAAAAAAAAATTAAATTTTTTGAATAAATTAAATCAATATTCAATAAAATAATTGAATTATGAAGATGTACTAAAATGTATAGAGGATATTTGTTTGTCCAGAAAGAAATAGAATCTACATGGTTTAAAATCTTCTATTCAATAATGAATATCTCCATCATCCCAAAATGTGATTGGTTGATAAGGGAAGATAGAAAATCCCATTATACTACTATATAAAGTAGCCTAGCTATTTAAAATAAAAGATCAAATTTTATGTTAATCTTACGGTAAAGGTGAATGCGGTTTTTAGTTGTTTTTTTTTGTGTGCGAAATTCACATATCAAACATAGAGGTTAGTGAAAATATCATTATATACTTCCTAAAGAGTTTAAAATGTTGGCAAATGTTTACTGTTTGCCAGTATACAGTAAAATTGATTGCGTCAAATGTATTGGATTCTAAATTCTCTGTCTGTGGGCTAATCGATATTATCTGTAAATCTTAATCTTAAACTCTTAATCCTGAATTAAGCATTAAATTGTCAATATTATATTTTATGAACGAACTAATCTTTTTGCTTCTCTTGGGTTTATCCGCTAAATTTATTCATTCACATGACTACAGAGCATTTCTGCATTATAACTAATGCCAATGATGAAAATACTAAACCTGAACTCCTAATTCATATCCTAAATAAGTAAACTTAACTAAGAATAATGTAGGGACTCTTAAGCATCCTCTTCGATCCTTTGAAAGTTCTTAGAAGACGAATAATAGATATCCATAAGGACAAATTTATGTTTTGTCCTTTTTCTCAATTTACAGGTATAGTGATCTGTAGAAAACTTTAATTAATTAATTATAAATATTTTATTTGTGATATTATTGTTTTCTTTGCCATAAATTATCCATTTACTAATACTGTTTTTGATGCCTAAGAACAGCTAAGAGCAGACATAATCCGTTAGTCTAGTGTTTAGTCTTACTGATCTAATAATCCAATATTCTAATGTTGTGTGAAATCGCAAACATAAAGCAATTGTTTATACAATTGATTGATCACTGGGTAGTGATCCATGTCATGTATGCCAGGTCCCTCTTAGTGCAGATCGAATCCTGTCAACCAAGTTTTGATGTGGCCATCAGTCTAATTGACTCGACATTGCGTGCTGAGTAACAGAGGATTGAATCCGTCAGGGAGTATCAGTTCCTTCAAGATTACAACTTTATACTAACCGGATGAAAATAATCTACTATATATTTGTTGACAAATTTGTTTAAGTTAATGATACGTACAATATTCAGTTTCAAAGCAGCAGCGATTGAACATTTCAATCATTAAGTTTAAAGCTGGTTTTTTCCCTCTGTTTCACATATGTAAATATTCCTAAATTTGACTGTGAGTTTTATTACTGAGTTCAGGTTCAAAGTGTCAACCAATAAGCTTCGATCAATCAAACAGTTTCTGACTGGTGGTCAGTATACATGTTATACATTATTAAGCACCTCATCTACAAATGCTAATTAAATTGGGATAGTTTCATACTAAGAAAAAAATAATGGTTTTCAAGCTAAGAGATGTAATTAATTCACAAAGTCCATCTGTATGCTACATAAATTTAATTCTTAAGATATCAGAGATCAGTAATTAGTGTTCATGGATATTACAGTAGGTGAGAACATTATCGGCGTGTTTCATAGTTTACATCTCGAACTGATCTTGGGTAGATAACTATTGGAAGACAGGAATTAGTGTAGTAGCAGTAGTAGTGTACATCCACGTTCCAGACGTTTATTGAACCCAGGACCTTTATATACCTTAGAAAGCACTTAACCTTCCGATTACTGATTACACAATCAATGGTTTACTTTTTTATCTTCCTAATAATGTTGAACTATCTTCGAATGCCATTTATTGATTTGATTCTTGGCTCCATGTTCCTTTCACTATACTGTTGTATTTTTCGTAGACGCTTAGCACTGTCATTTAAAACAAAGTTTTTTCAGGGTTAATGTCTAAATATCACTAATTTCCTAAAATATATCATACTTTAACTAATAATTGTATCATTAACTGCTGAAAACTCAAATATAGTAGGCTTAATTGTGTACAAATGTACACGATTATAGTCTACTCATTTCATTTCCATTTATCTAATTACATATTTTTAGAAGTTGTACGGACAAATTCTCTGAAGATGAATTAAACAATCAAAAAAAGAATCTTCAACATTGTCATCTGACTAATTGTACATCTGGTACACCAAATGCAACAACAGATACATTGAGAAAAACTATACAATCACAAACTGTTGATCATAATAGCACAATTAATCATCATTTGTCAGATGAATTATCTGAGAAAGAAGCTCATGTGAATTATCTAGTTACTTTATTTCAAGCATTAAAAAGTTCTGGTGTACAAGCGGATGCTTTTAGAGAAGCATTTGAACGTATTGATTTACCAGTAACTAATTCAAAATTATCTCCGAATACAATAAATCTAAGTAAGTTATTTAAGATGTTTTCTTCTTTTTTAACCATTTAATCTTTGGAAAAGGGGTTGAGACTTCGAGTTGCTTATATTTTGTAAATAATAGGAAAATTGTCAAGCGAATTGTCGGACATCCTTTTTGGAAGTCTTATATTTGTCTAGTATGATTGTACATATATGCACTTATGTTGATGGACTGTTAATATGCAGATGAATATCGATTGCCTGTGCTCATATGCTATCTCAAGATCAAATGGCAAGTGGGAAACTATAAACAAGACATTCTATTAGAGGACGTTGATCAGGCACTTACTCTGGGTCTCAGTCTACTTGTCCATCCTGGTTACTTCAGTTTTCTCATTTTGGATAACGCGTTTGGTATGCTGCTGGAAGTGTGTGTCGTAACCTAGTTGGACCACAGAACACAGCAATTCGTTTTCACATATGTGTTTTATTTAATGATTAGTAAGGTATTTAAAAGAATCCACAGAAACATAGAATAATATTCCGGAATCATGATAGACTATCTAAAACGTACTTACATAGCTACACTTCATTTAATGACATAATATTTATTATTCATTTGAACACATAAATATTGGTACTAAGGGGCATCGAATACATACAAGTCATTTGATTTGTGTATGGGCTATGATACTGTCCGGGTTCCCAAACCGAAGCAGGTGGTTTTCTTAGTGGGCCACACTATGAAAAGCTTTTTAAACTTGACACCTCTTTCGCCCGGGCCCCCAAATGCTTTGGTACAGCCGAGGATGGGGAGAGTCCGCTCTCTGGAAATGCTCTCAACATGGCTCCCCATATACGGACACTCATATGGAAGTCCCACTCACTGCCTTCTCGTGGTGGGGGTGTTGTTTACAAAATTGAGAGGATGGAATGCGAATAACCGGCGCTTTAACCGGGTTGGTGAATACAGAGGGTCCGCCTAAAAGAGTTGGAAAACCCTCATTTCAAACCATTGGTGCACATGGGCTGCAGTATCCTAGAGGAACAAATGACGTATGAACCAATCGTTGGTCACCGGCTACCATGGGACTGTATCTCCTGACGTTGCTCCACCGCCTTGTGGATTAAACCTTTAGGTCGAAGGCTCGGGGTGTGGCCGCCTAAGAAAACCACCCACTTCAGTTTGGGAACCCGGACAGTATCATAGCCCACACACAATTCAAGTGACTTGTGTGGCGCATATGTATTCGGTGCCCCTTTGTATCAATATATTTATATGTTCAAATAAAATGAAAAATAATGTTTCGTTCTAGTGTTAGCCTATTCTATAGCAATCATCTACGACTCTTCTCGAAATCGAACTACAACTGCGATAAATTTATAACGATTACAGTATAAAATTTGAAACATTATCTCACAACAGATCTGGTTAAACTACACTGGTAACGGCTTCTCACTAGAACTCCAGGAAATGCCTCTTGAAGTCAGTCATTAGTGAGCAGATGATTATTATCAGAATGGGTTTTGTGGAGATTTTAGAAATTTCACTAGTTGAAATCATCATGAGTCAATTGAAGTTAGACCACCTATGGAAAACCATGGTGGTCTGTTGTGAGATATCAGTTCACTGAAAACAATGGTATACGGTGGCGCAACTTCGTGCGTTGGTTAAAGATAGACATTAACAGCATTGGATGCTGGCCGGCTCAGTGGTCTAGTTGGTTCAGCGCCTGGCGTGAGACTGATAGGTCCTGGGTTCGAATCTCGCGGGGTGTGGGATCGTGGATTCGCACTGCTGAGGAGTCCCATACTAGGACAAAACGGCCACCCAGTGCTTCCAGGTTTCCCATGGTGGTCTAGCTTCAACTGACTCATAATTTCAATCTGTGAAATAATAATAATAATAATAATAATATAATAATAAATATAATGAAATACAAAATATGACAGTTTTCAAAATTTCTGTTCATTTTTTGTTTTGTTTATATTTATACAGAAAAAAAATTAAATATATTACTATTTCATGATTTTATTCCCTATTTAAAACTAAGTCAGTTACCATAATAGAACATATTGTGTATCACAATAAAAATATATTTCATTTTCGACATTGTCACAAATTGTTCTATGGTTTAATGCAAAATAATATATTTTCGTTATTCTAAAAAAGAACAAAACAAACAAAATCAGTCAAAAACTGATCTAGTAAAGTGTAATATATTTTCATAAGTAATGTAATAAAATGGTAAAGAAAGAAAGATCAATATAGGGTTTTGGAGATTATTAAGTTTTTGATTGAAATCATGAACTGATTGATATTAAACCACCATTGAAAACCTGGAAACACTGGACGAATGTTTCGTTTTATTGTTGAACTCTGTCAGCAGTGAGCATTCACTATCCCGATTGCGGGATTCGAATCCAGGGTCGATAGAGACAGGTATCTACCTCAGTACAATGGAAGATGGTAGAGCAATTTCGCGGATTGGTTGAGGTTAGGCATTGAGACCGTTGAATGCCGACTCAGTGGTCTAGAGGTCAAACGTTCGCGTGTGAGACTGAAGGCCCTGGGTGCGTGGATGCGCACTTCTGAAGAGTACTACGATAGGACGAACCGGTCGTCCAGTGGCTCCAGGTTTTCAATGGTGGTCTCACATCAACCGGTTCATAATCTCAAGGTAAAAAAGAATCAGCCGATTTCAGATAAATAACTACTGTGAAAGCCAATTTATAGAAATCATCTATTCATCAAAGAGATAGTTTTAACCACAAAGTGAAGTTTAAATTCACTTGATATTGTTTGCTTTTATCTTCCCATTGTTGTTTAGAACTGCAATTGATCAGTCTCTTATTGATATATGAGCATCCTGTACGGATTGCCTCGTTGTTGCCTTATTCACAAGCATTATAAGCAAAGATAATGGCTAGCAGGTGGCTATTAGGATTCAGTAGCTAAGTGCATAACGTGATGATGTTTGAAGCGAACGGTACTGGGTCCGAGTCCCATAGTGGACAACAACTGTGGAATGCAGGTATATTCAGCTGACGAGTCCCAAGTAGAATGAAACGCGCCTACTGGATTGCACCGTTTATAACCATTCATCTTTGCTTATAACCTGTATTACGGTTGATAAGCCCGTAAAACTTAGTTGATTATTTTTTTCCTTCGATTGACTTAACCGTGTAAATTGACTTTTTTGTTAAAATTTATGTAAACAGTGTTTACTTGAAAGTGTTTATCCTTGCTAAGGTTTTTACTCCAAAGTTTTAGCAGTTATTTTGAGAAAATTGTCTTTATCCTGCCTTCAATATAGATTATCTGTAATGTTCTATGAATGTCTTTGGTTGTCTAGAATCCATGTGAACAATGTGATCCTAAGCACCGTTATAGTATGGGGGCGATTGTCACTTTTTAGCTGTTTACACCATGAATGGTTCATTCTTTTCAAGGTATCTTAAAAAGAAATTAGGTTGTGGGCGGTCTCGATGACTATTGATGTTTGACTACATAGCACAAGGGACAAATACTTGAGGCCGGTCACACACGATCTGCCTGTGAATAGTTCTCGATGGGTTAACTCGGAACTTTTAAGGTTTTATAGTAAACAATCGGAATCCGTGGGGTCGGGTCCAGCATTTTTGATTTTTAACCATGTACTTTCTTTGTGAAAGGGCAGGATCGCCGGAAATAAGGGTTATCTGAGGATAACTCCGTACGACATTGACTTCAGATTGTGAGTTTACTGCTTTTAACCTTAATGCCTTCAAACTAACCTGCTTGACATGTAGAGAACCTGTAGGAACTGGTTTTTTAGCCAGTCCTAGTTGATTAAATCATCACAACGTCAAGGTGGCAGCTACAATCATGTTTGATATCTATAAATTACATTAAATCTACTTATATATTGTTATTCAGACTCAGCTTCTAATATCTTCAGTACATTTTAATATGCATAGATCAATATATTTATCACAGTAATTTAGTTTCATATTCTTGTTATCTTGTTACTTACTTCCTAAAAATTCATTGCCGTGTATTCATTTGTATGAACTAGATCTCTTCAATATTATTCGAACTCATTTCTTTTTTCTTTTTTTCCCTCTCACATTTTTGATACTTTTGCGTTTCAGTTTTTTAATTGACTTAATTTAATACGTCGTTTATACTTAATCTCTTTGTCTATTTCTCTATTTATCGCTGAAATTAATTAAGCATTAATTAGCATATTGTTTTCGAAATCCTTTTTAGTCCTATTTTTTATTCATTGTAATTGCTAATTTGAATATCCTTCAAAAATAGATAAGTCTGTTCATGTGCATTTATATACATAGTGATCTTGAAAGCTCTTAGAGGCATCAATGCTTGAAGTCACTAACTTCTAGTCTGAGCCATGTTGGTAGATGCAGACTACTTGGTTGGGGTCCGCTTGACTATCGTAACCAATGGTTGGAGACTCTGAGTGACAAGGCTCAGAATCGGTCACAATGGCGTAGGTGTATACACTCCCTGTCTTCCCTTAAACTATGAGGTTAAAATCGCTTCATATCTTTCTTTCTACAAACTAATTCTTTCTTCCTGTACTATATCCTTTTATGTAAACTTTCTTTTATATATTAACACCATTGAATTAACTACTATGAATCTGGTGTTTATTATTATTATTATTATTAGCTTTATTCAATATTCTATTCTTGGTACAATATAGAATTCTCAGCACAAGCTATTTCAACAAGTTTCTTTTACAAAAAAAAGACAAAAAGAAGGACGAAAAAGAAAGGAAAAAGTGTTTTGAAAAATCTAAAAAAAACTGTACAACTTTCCAAACTAAAGACATGTTAGAAATGAAAGTTATTGACTAGGTTAACTCTAACAACCTGTTCGTTGTAATGAGATGTATCAGCTTTGATCGATGCATATGTGTGCCTGGTCCTGTGTTGTAGCTGACTGACATATATATATCAATTAATGAAGTAGTGAGACTTCATCATTTGAGATGGCTGGGACATGTGTTAAGTATACCCAACCACCAACTTCCCCGACGTGCGATGTTTTATGGTGTGGGAGTAGGTTGGAAGAAAGCTAGGGGCAACCAGACTAAAACATGGCACAAAACCATGAAGTCACTGACAAGTGGACTGAGTCATGTTGGTAGATGTAGTCTACCTGGTTGGGATCTGCGAGACTATAGCAACTGATAGTTAGAGGCCTTGAATGACATGACTCAAAATCGTTTGCAATAACGCAAGTGCATTCACTCTTTATGTTCTCTCAAATTCTAATCTTTTGAACTCTTCATATCCTTTTTTTCTCTCTAAATTTATTTCACTGGATTATACTCCTTGAATAACATCTTCAAACCCTAATCTTTCTGATTACCGCTCAAAGGTTTACTAACTCTACCACAATGGGATTCGAACCGACAATTGTATCGGTGTGCTAATGTGGTATGGCAACTCGAACTGATATACGTGCGTATGAATCTATTCATTTTACATTGATCAATAATATATTCTGTTGATTACTTCTCTTTGTTTTTTTCCTTTAAATTAACGTCTTTCTTCTGTTTCTCTGTTTGTTTTTCATCAAATTATGAATAATAGGTGATAAAAAACTAAGTTTATTAAAGACAAAACTTTATCAAATTGAAGAAATGCGCAAATCAATAAAATCGTTTTATCAAATATTCAATGAATTCAATCGAAAATTTACATTGGATTTGAATAATTGTAATAAAATTGTCACAGTAAGTTTTATGATGATTATTAATAATGATTAATTTATCGATTCATTGATTTATTGATTGATTGGTTGATTGATTGATTGTTGGAAAGCGAATAAATATGGTTGATTTTTTGTATAAGATTTTCATAATGATAATAACAGTTTCCTTGATCATAATTGTGAATAATGAACTTATTTTATGTAAACTATTTAATTATTGGATGTTTATTAAATAAGTCACTGAAATGGTCTTTGAGTTGCTATGCTTGAGCCTATAAATAACTTGATATATTAACTCTTATTGGCGCGTATACAAAGCCTATCTACAAACGTCTGTCAGGATATCAGAATAAAGAAGTCAATATAAACTATATCTATCTGACTCAAAAAACTCACATGATTATGAACGTGAATAGCAGAATGCCGATGCTCCATAAATAAAAAAATTACAGCATGTGCCTAACCAGCATATTTAAAGTATAAAATTTGAGTAACAGGTTTATAATTAATATACAGTTATAGTTCACGCTAACCATAACCACTTCAGTAGATGAAATTTTGTAGATTCATCAACCGGTTTGTTGGTAGTTTCAACTACAGTACGCTTGATATTGACATAAGAATAGCCACATCTTTCACTTTTGAACAACTTCGTTTTTTTCCAAGCTTGGTAGTTGTGCTGTATGCTACTTATGTCAACATAAGTAGTATATAACGCCAATCACATGTGGAATTCTTGGCGGCAGAAGGTTGTGAAGATCGCATAGAAGAGAGCGGCAACAGAGAGTAATTGTTGTGGCAACGAAGGAACATTAAAGTTTGAGGCGATTGATGGAGGATTTGCAGATGAAGTATTGAACGTATGATTTGCATATTTTACCAAAGAACTCGGTAATTTCGTATTAGGTTGCATACGTTGTTCCCACCTATGTTCTCGTTCACAACACTGTGACATATTTATTATGTTCAGGTAGAAAACTATACAGAAACAATACTATGATAATTTTTCAATCCTGAAATCTTTTTATTGCTTAAAACGTGAACAAGCTTATGTGTGGACATGCATCCGTAGGTGTTTTTTAAAATTCATCTTTAAATTAAGTTAAATCTAACTACTGAAAGTTTAATCGACTTGTAAGCAAAAAGTTTAATCTCTTGAAAACTACTTCATTATTTATTTGGACTCAGTAATAAGTGGATAACGCGTTGAGCATTTGAAACGAAAGGTACTGTGTTAGAGTCCCGATGTAAATATCAATATCAGGGTGGAGGTACATCCAGCTGAAGAGTCCTAAATAGAATGAGATGCTCTCCATAGATGTCACTGGTAACCACTATCCAACGTTGATTGATATGCTTGTGAATTAACGGCAATATCTTGTTGGGATATTCAGAAAAATATACCAATAATTATCCTGTTAAGTCTAATGGTATCCTTGGACTTTAAATGGACATTTCCTATTGGTTAATGTTTATTTCACTTGTCAAATATTGTACAAATGTTGTTTTCTATTCTATGGTACGATGAGGTCTGGTTGATTGGTATATAAACGGAGTATGCTTGAACAATTATGATTCATATCTCAGAGGCTGAGACTTGCGTTCCGGACTCAACTGGCTGGGCTAGACAGGGAAGAGGGACCAATCAGGCTCTAGGTCGTTCTTGCGTGTCTTACGCGTCTTGAGATCGATCGATAATTTGCTAACCTCCAATCCGCAGCATCTCACGTTACAACAATATAAGCAATGTACACAAGATATAAATATCTCAAGAAACTGATCAATCACAGTCCTTAGTGCTAACGTGAATAATCAAATAACTCTCTGAAATGAATTTCTTTATTATGACCACAACAATATTCCGTTTGCTATCTTAAGCTTCAGAAATTACTTTTTTCTGCCACGTGCCGAACACTTGAGCACTATACTTCTGATTATCCATGAAGATGTTTAGTTTAATGACCAGACATTTGTTATAATTTTGAAGAATCTATAAAATCATAAATAACTCTTACCTCATGATAATATATTACGCGAATAGTTGGTTAGTGAACAAGGGCTGATATTCATTCATTTCATTGTTTATTATTTATTTATTTAAACACATAGACAGTAGTAAAAGGAGGCACGAAACAGATATGCGCCACATAAATCATTCGATTTATGTAAGGGCCCAAACCGAAGCAGGTGGTTTTCATAGGAGGCCACACCTGGAGCCTTTGACCTACGGGTCTAGTCCATAAGGCAGTGGAGCAACGTCGTGAGAGACAGATCCGTGGTAGCCGGTGGCTAACAATAGGTTCATACGCCATTTGTTCCTTCAGGATCCTGGAGTCCATGTGCAGTATTGGTTTGGAACCAGGGTTTTCCGACTCCCCTAGGTGGACCGTCCGTATCCACCAACCCGGTCCAAGCCCCCACCGGACATTCGCTTTTCGTCCTCCCAATTTCGTAAACAACAGTAATGCCGCGAGAAGGCAGTGAGTAGAACTTCCCTGACAATGATTTTATGCACGTGGCCATATGAGAGTATTTCGATAAAGAGAGCTGACTCTTTTCACTCTCGACCGTGCTAGGGCGTTTGGCGGTAATAATTTCTGAAAAAAACATTATACTTTTTCATCTGTTTTTATTTAAATGAAGAATGGTTTTTTTTCTCTAAAATTTATTCACTTCTCAATTTCTTCTATACACAGAATTATCCAATCAACAAACATCAGTCTATCATACTATTCTTGATCCACAATTAGAAATTATTCAAAATGAACGAAGAAATTTAGATAGATCATTACAAGAAATGTATAAAATTAATACTATTTTAAGTGAACAATTACATGATCTTGAATGTGTCATTGAACAAACTGGTAACGATGTATTGCAACATCGTTGTCGTATTAATTTACCATATGTACAAACATTAGAGAATAGATTGGATTCAATTAATTCAACTGTTAGTTTGGCATGTGGTAAGTAGTTGAATTCTTATTGTAAATATATACATATATGGTTGTGTTATTCACTGATTATGTCTGGAAGTGATTCTTCAATTGTTATTTGTAATTTGAACATTCGGTTTTCAAGTTACTAAGTGATGACTTTTATCAATTTTGATATTTAGTAAGGCAAGATGAAAACTTAAAAGTTAGCTTATTATCATAGATTGATGTTGATAATACATGTTAACAGATAAAAGAATATCGTATCATACTTATAGTTATGCACTAATTGGTCCTAAAATGAACCCTTTGAACTTACAGCGATTACAATTATGAGATTATGCATTTGACAGTTAATTTGTATGCGTTATATTTGATGTAATTGGCTGATACTATATTAACGAATGGATTGGAATGAACAACGTAAATTTATAGCGATTGTGAATGCATCTCTCACTCATTGATTCATGTTTCAATGATCCATAGGGATACTACAAGACAATATCTGATTTGTAACTCCAAGATTCTTATTTAATGAAATCAATCTATGCTTTTAATCAACTTTAGTTATATTTTATAACTAGTGTTCATTAACATTTTATAAGAAATTTATTTAGATCAATTGTATCATTAAATTAATTATTGGATCATTATGGAAGCTCGAGTTTAAGACAATATGTTAAATAAATTGATTATTTTTTGGTTATTTCAAGAGAGCTTATGTACCATTCTATAGACTGGGACGTTAAGAGATAGAGATCGATCGTACAGGATTATTTCTTGACTCAGGTTGTATTTAATATCTCAGTCAGTATCTATAATAAATTAAGATTACTAACCATGGAGATCTACGTAGTTAACCCGTCAAGTTATGATGGTTTCTTTCATTTGACGTTACTTATTGCCTTTCCAATCTCTCTAGTGGTGAAACGTCTTTTTGCAGTTTCACATTCATGAAGTTTAAAAATTTTAGGCAACTGAAGAGAGGAGTTGGAGACCGGTTTTACTATTACTCAATATTTTTTATCAACTGTTTAAGTAACCTGGCTTTGAGAGGGCATCAAGGTTCTGTTATTTTCCTAAAATAATCCCACTTACGGCTAAATAATGCACTAAGTAATTTTCCATATCTTGACCTGATAGGTAGTGTGAATCTTCCACTTGGAGTGATCGAACTTCTTTATAATGCAACAATAAAAACGATTATCACCCTTGAAAAAGCTCCATTGTTACTCTAGTTATAAAAAATAATAATTGGATAATGATTGTATTTGATGCTTTTGAAATAGATGATATTAATATCTTACCCGTATATCAATATATCTGTGCGTATCCTCACCATTTCAATTCAATTATAAACTGTCTGCAAAGATCGGATTCATGGGTTAACAGTTTCAAACCATATAACTATAGGGTCTTTTAATTAAAACGAATTACAATAGATGTGAATGATAGATCACAAATAAACACACACCAGTTATATATTTTTAAAATTATTTGTTAAATATTATCAGTAGGGGTTTTGTGGAGATTTTAGTCATTTTTATAGTTGTGATCATGAGTCAATTGAAGCTAGACCAAAATGGAAGACCTGGAAGCACTGGACGGGCGTTTCGTCTTAGTATGAGACTCCTCAGCGGCGCGCATCCACGACCCCATCTCACTAGATTCCAACACAGGAACTATCAGTCTCGCGCACGGATGATTAGCCACTAGATCACTGAGTCGGACGGCCGACCGGCCGGCATCCAACGGTTTTAATGTCTAACTTCAAATAATCCACCAAAATCAGCGACACATCCACCATTGTCTTCACTGAGTTATTATCTCACAACAGACCCAGTTGAACTCCATTGGTCACTGCTTCTCACTGGAACTCCAGGAAATACCTCTTCAAGTCAGCCAGTCACTAGTGCGTATATGATGATTATTATTATTATGAGAAGGGGTTTTGTGGAGATTTTAGTAATTTTTATAATTGAATTCATGAGTGGATGTGGATTGCTGAGAATCCCCATACTAGTACAAAACGACCGCGTAGTGTTTCCAGATTTTCTATGGTGGTCTATTTTCAATTGATTCATAAATTGAACTATAAAATTTTAAAACATTAGTTTGTAGCTGTAGTGTATTATTAAATGTGAACGAGAAAATTCAGATTTTACCAGGATTTTTTTTCCTTATAAATATATGTCATGCATTATACATTTATCTTAAACTTACAATCTGTCTTCGCCTAGATACTTTCAAAGAATCATATTAATAATAAAAGTAGAACGTCAATTTCTCGAATCTTCACTTTTCTACATAAATATTTATATACATTTATGGTTAATTAATTATGATTGAGTTCATGAGCCGATTGATGTTAGACCACCACTGAAAACTTAGAAGCACTGGACGGACGTATGGTCCCATTGTAGGACTCCTCAACAGTGCGCACCTACGATCTCAGTCGCGAGGTTCGAACCCAGAGCCTTCAGTCTCGCGCAAGAACGCTTAAGCTCCAGACCATTGAGTCGGCATTCAACGGTATCAATGTCTAACCTCAACCAATCCGCGAAATTGCTTCATCATCTTTTATTGTACTGAGGTAGATACCTGTCTCTACCGGCCCTTGATTTGAATCCCGCAACCGGGATCGTGAATGCGCACTTCTGACAGAGTTCAACACTAGAACAAAACATTCGTCTAGTGTTTCCAGGTTTTCAAAGGTGGTCTAATAACAATCAGTTCATGATTTCAATCAAAAACCTAATGATCCCCACAACCCCCATACTGATAATTAATTAAGTGTTATTCGAAAGGCAATAAAAATTTGACCTTATGATTAAATTACTTTGTATTTTTTCTTAATGATGCTGTTGTCGATAAGAGTTTTATTGTGTACATTTTATCTATGGAATAATAGGTCATTACCCAGGAATTCAACAAATATTGAATAGTCGTGAAGAAATGGAAGTAAAAGCTATTGAAATTCAAAAAAGGTAAATACCGTTATTCATTTATGATTGATTAGTCGAGTAGTGACCAATATATATTTTCCTAGTTCTTTTGTACTGATAAAATCCTTTCGATCAAATTACAATGTGGTTATTAGTCTGAGTGATTCCAAATGGCGTGCACTATGCTGAGATGTTAGGTGGTTGGAGGTAGTCAGCAAGAAATCTCACCTGACATACGTTTTGTTCTAATTTGCACTTGTCCACAAGTTTTACGATCTTGAGAGAATCTATCTAATCCATTAAAGTTCAAACTACGTCACTTGGCTTCATTATCGAGGACGCTCATTCTCATTTATTCTCTCTCTTTATTCAAGAAATACCAGAAATTGTACCTACTCATTAACTTCTTATTAAAAATAATACTCATCTTTAGTTCAATATATAAATAAAATAAACTTTAATTCAAATCTTCGAATAGATTTAGATCTTTCTGTAAACTCATTACAATCGAGTCACAGTCGGAATTAGCTGATTGATTTTATGACATAACGCTTTCATTGGATCTCACCAACGAATTACCATCTTGCTTTTATCTTGATATACTGTTCAGACAACGACTTGATGCTAGCACTTTTGAAAATTCCTTTCAAAGTTAATTAGAAATAAAATGATTGCTGTTAGGTCAGATATATTTGTCCTAGTTATATATATATATATATATATATATATATATATATATATATATATATATATATATATATATATATATATATATATATAACGAAAGAGCTTTTGCGTGTTCTTTGATTTCCATTGTTTTTCCAATCATGACAGGTTTTGATGGAAATTCTTCCTAAGATATTCAAGAGTCCACATCAAGTTACCCTAACTTAAAGTATTCAAAACACTAGTTATGAACAAGATGACTTACTATTTTTTTTGAATTCATTATTATCCACTACTAAATAACATCTTAAGATATTTCTTAGTATCCGGGGGAATGTATAGCGAAATGACTTATCAGTACTAGAAATCAAACTATATTACTCTCTCTCTCTCTCTTGCAAAAGTTAAATAAAGTTCAATTTCATTAAAAATTATCCGAATGCATAATAGTAGATATATAGCCGAAGGGACGGGTCGATTTCAGTTCTGAACATCAACAACGGGAAATCATAAACACCTAATAATACCTTCTATCCACTAAACAAGTTAGTGGCTATTTGAACTGAATAGCTTATAGTGAACAAGTCATTGGTGTTTGAAATGAAAGATACTCGACTAAATTCTGAACACTAGGATGCAGGTACATTTATCTTACGAGTTACCAATGGGACGAAATACGAGTTCTGGATTCCCCTACTAGGGATAGACGAAATTTACTAAAACTTATGACATTACACTCTATCGAGGCAGTCCACTTAGGATAAACATATGGTAATAGCGATTGACCAATCAAAGTCTTGGATAATAATAATAATAATAATAATAATAATAATAATAATAATAATAATAATAAGGAATCACAACCCCATAAATGTAGATATTTTTAGTCATTCAATTAGTAAAATCTTTAGATATAGACGTGTTATAACTTGTGGACCTATGTGCCCTGTTTATTGTATAACGCAACGATACCGCCAATCAGAGATCAGCAAACTATCGACCGAACCAGTGACGCATAAAACCCGTGCGAGAAGTCTAGAGCCCTTAAGTCAAAACACCAATCCGAGCCTCTGCAATATGAATCATTTATTTCAAGTATACCAAACAGACCACATCGTACCATAAAATGGAAAATGACATTTGCACAATTTTTAGCCAAATGTGGCTGTGAATGTGAGAGATAGTAATAAATAGACAGGGCATAATTCAAGAGTGGTAAATCGTATAATAATAGTCCATAGGTCAAAATAAAGCTTATGATAAGAGGGATATGAATATAAACAATTTAGTTACATAACAATTATACAATAAAAAATATACTCATAGTATTGACCCATAAATAGATCCCAACAGTTACCATTCATTATTCTTATCGGAATATAACACAACATAATACTCACTGTGCTGATTATTCACAGCCAGTTATACTTACTCATTTAGCTTATAATTTATTGATTGTTTCTTTACGATACTTTTTTTAATGTTTACAGTGTCCTTGATGATCAGTTATATCAATTGAAGGATGTCAATGAAAAATGTAAACGTATTAAAGGCACAATATTAACTTTAAAACGGTAATAAATAATATTGTATTTTTGTTTTATTAATTTTAAGTGTGATAAGTCTTGCTATATTCGTCTCCTAAGCTATTCGGTAACCCTCAAGCTAGAACTACACAGCGACCTGAACAGGAGAGAGAAAACTCAAAGTATGCGAGAAATAGTTTGCTCCAAGGTTCATTTTCATACAGAAAATACAGGGTTTTTTAATATTTTAAATGTCCTTGGGTTGCTAGAAGATTCTGGAATGCTACTAAACATCAGTAGCCCAACAATCAGAGCCTCTACATGTGACGTTTCGCTTCCTTGATATTTTTGGCTAAAACTTCAACTGAATGCTGATTGGATGAAACGCTTCTTAGTGTTTCCTGATGCTAGCTTGTCTTGTGCAAGCAATTTTCTGGATCATCCCAACAAAGTGAAATGAATAAATTCTGTGTATTTTCTTTCTATATTCTACTGATTTTTTATGTATATTTTAACGTCCTCCTCCATAAATATTGTAGAACGATCTGTATGATCAAAAAATGCTTCCATATATTGATAATGGTAGTAAAGTTTATAAAAAGTATTATAACTTTAGAGTTGTATGATCAAGTGACACGTTTGTATTCAATTGTCCTTTCAACAACGGCTCAGAGCTAGACAATGACCAGAAAAGGAGTAGATTGTGATAAAGTATGAGAGGGAAATATATATATATATAATGATACAGGTGATGAACGATAACAGATCTGTCTATCGACACTCACTGACCAATGAAAACGTACTTCCATCAAATATTACCGGAAAGATTAACTTTCAGTAATAAAATACATAGTATTATTAGTGTTCGGCAAATGGACATCTTTATTTCATATACGTCTAGTTTTCACAAAATAGAAAACGCAATTATTGTTACTGTCATTATTATTACTTGACAGATTTTATTCTCTTTGTACTTGAAAAGATTGAATTTCTATTATTTTGGACAGACCTATTTGGTGTTAGATTATTAACCATACATTTTTTTTTCACTGTTGAATAAACGTGCGATGATATCAAGCGTTTTCAAGTATTTTTCCTTTCATTCATTGGATGAGCGCTAAATATTAGAGTGTGATTTTTCTATTTTTAGACTTTCGTTTTATTCATCTAAGGCTATCTAGATATATGTCCTATGAACATACTGCTACTGTAGAGCATCTCAACCTGACAGATAAAAAGTAACTAAATAAATTGAAATTTGGAACTTGAAATGAAGTCCTCAATGAAAATTATACTCTCTCTCTCTCTCTCATTCAAGACTCATTCACTAAATAGAGGGGAAAAAAAAGCACCGGAAAATTCTTGATAATTCATTAATAAAAATTTTCCATTCTATTTTCTCTTACAAATTTCAACATTGAATTATGAATTAATTTTCGTTTCCATTTTTTTTGTATGATGAATATAGTTGACAAAAATTAGACTACCGTACATAAGACTCCTTCAATCAATCAATATCATTATGTCGCTGAGATTATCTATATATTCAAAGAGACGTCATTTTTCAAAAAAAAATTCCGAATAAATTAATATTCATATCGGAAGGGTCATTTTTTGGTGATTGTAGTAACTTCAATAGTTGAGATCATGAGTCAGTTGAAGCTAGACCACCATGGAAAATCTGGAAACACTACGCGGTCGTTTCATACCAGTTTGGGAATTCTCAGCAATCCACATCCACTCATGAATTCAATTATAAAAATTACTAAAATCTCCACAAAACCCCTTCTCATAATAATAATCATCATCATATACGCACTAGTGACTGGCTGACTTGAAGAGGTATTTCCTGGAGTTCTAGTGAGAAGCAGTGACCAATGGAGTTCAACTGGGTCTGTTGTGAGATAATAACTCAGTGAAGACAATGGTTGAATGTGTCGCCGACCGTTGGATGTCGGTCGGCCGGTCGGCCGTCCGGCTCAGTGATCTAGTGGCTAATCATTCGTGCGCGAGACTGATAGTTCCTGTGTTGGAATCTAGTGAGATGGGGTCGTGGATGCGCACCGCCGAAGAGCCCCATACTAAGACGAAACGGCCGTCCAGTGCCTCCAGGTTTTCCATGGTAGTCTAACATCAATTGGTTTATGATCTCAATCAATATTTGTCTAACTAATTTCAGTGTTTTAGTTGAGACCATTTCTATGTTAGCATTATTTTTTTCTAAAGAGATGGTAATTAAAAGTTTTATAAATTTATTTAATCTGGTCGAAATTTTATTTTAGTTTTTCTTCCCCTTCAAAATAAAAGTCCCATGAAAAATGTTCTAAGTGAATTTTTATTGTGTATAGAAAATTTCATTTAATTCATTCCATGACAAAATGTAATTTAAATAAAGGTTGATTAAATTGACAGAATGATATTGGAAATGTGATGAATAATTTTTTGCATATAAGTAGATTGGAAGTAGTTTTTTTCAAGTGTTTATTTAACCATTTTGATACTGTGATATATACTCGCTAATTCCATTGATTATAGTATATTTAACAAATGAAAGTAGTTCTAACCAAAAGATATGTATTAGTTTATTTAGTATATGACTAATAGTGGAATTAAGGACCTACGTTTCGTCCTATTTGGATCTTATCACATGAATATTTCTACATCACAGTATTGATGTTTACAACGAAACTTGAATGTAATATCTTCCTCTTCAAATACCAATGGATTGATCATTGAGTAAATGAGTTCAGATAGTTACCAATTTTCTCATTTGATTTAAGGTTATTAGGAAGGGTTATAAACACATCCAGCTGTTGAGTCCCAAACCAGATGAATGTTTGTAGTAGGCACCCACAATTATGCATGCTGGACTCAAACTCAGGACCCTGGGTCTCGCGTGAACGCGCGTAACCTGTTGACCACTGATTTTACATCAATCAGTCTAGAATAGAAACCAATAATATTTCCAAAACATGAGAAAATTCTAAGTAGCATGCATTTATCTTTTAGCTGTCATATAACAATAATAATAAACTCATATCATACATACATTTTAATTTTTTTTAATATCCATATTTTAAAGGCTTGCAATTGTAAATATACAAAATCGACAACGCTCGAATTCCCCCAGACGTTTTACTCATCTTGGTGGTTTTGTCAATCGAGCGGCTGCTGATCGAGGAAGTATTGAACGCAGTCGGTTATATGCTGCTGTACAAAATATTCAACCAGATTCAGAGAAACGACTACAAGCAATCAGAGTAATATATATATATATATATGACATTATCTTTAATTTAAATATGAATTTCGTTAGATTTGTTAACACTGAGTTGGCCAATCCTATTTCTCTAAATTACTTAAATTCATTTTCGACATTATAAATAGGAAGATGTGAATATGGACTACTTCATAACCACCATCTTATTCCATAATCGACCATATAAATCAGTCAGTTAGTCATTTTAGTCCTAAGCAACGTAGGACTTGGCATGTATGTGCACTAGTTCAAATTGTTACATCACTTCAGTACATCAAGATAAATAATTCAAGTGTAGTAGAAGTAGTAACAGTATTAGTGGAAGTAGAAAACACTAGGTATAAATAATATGATTCTAAAATATATGGATTTGTGGAATAGAAAAGTACAACATAATTTGATTTGGTTGCCCCCAGTTCTCTTCAAACGCACTCCTATATCATCCGAGATTTTCTGTCAAAATAAGCTGTTGCTGGGCATGTGTAACACATATCTTACCCACCTCAACCTGGGAAGATTCCCTAGTTCATAGATCAACTCATCTTGAACATACTCGAACAAATCTAATCACACGTTTAGTGATGAAAAAATAATAGTTTCGGTAAATTATTTTGTAAAACAGCGAAAATTTTTAGCGTCTAATATTTTCAGCGATTTCTATTTCCTGAAATCCGGTCGATTGAGATTTCGTCTATCGACCTCATGATTAGGATCTCAATTAAGATGCCTTCGTAATTCCGGTACTTATTCAGTCATATTACTTGGCGCTTGTCAGATGGGCGTATCTGCATCTTCGAGGAAACTGTTGCACTCCATGGGATTCAAACTCGTATTATCCAATGAGATAACCTTAGATATTATCAATAGGCTATTCTAGTCGCAAACTGATCTTCTTTAGGATTAAGATGTTTATGCAACTTGATCACTGTTAGTTAACGAGGTTTGTAAATCTAGACATCGGTGCCAATCAGAAACCATCGGGCAAGTTGCACTGTGGTCACTAGACTAAATAACATGACATCGTGATATACTATATCTGATGTTAAATAGTTGTAGAAACAGAATGTTCTAAAATTTGATTGGTGTCAATTCATATCATATGTGTTTTGGTAACAGTCCTAAAATGACTGATAATAGAACAATCGATTAAGATTTCAGTATAAATAATTTACTTACTGGTCTATGCCTTCAATCACAACTAAATATTTATCAGAAGTTAAAGTACCCAGTCAACTAATTTAGTTCATATTATGGAATGAAAGCTATCGTCCGTGTACAGAATATCCAATCAAGATATTATTAAAACGTCTTCATTATTGGGTTATTATTAATTTCAGAAAGGGGTTTTTGTCGACATTATAGTAGTTTAATAGTTGAGATCATTAGTCATCGATGGATGCGCACTTTTGAGGAGTCCCACAATAGGACGAAACGGTCGTCCAGTGCTTCAAAACTATTTTTATGATGGCTTTGGATAATTTTAAGAACATTACATTTTATTAGTCTCAAAATCATTGTAAACGTCTATATTGTATATAAACTCAAACTTATTTGAAGATGTTCATGGTGATTCTTGGAAGTTCAAGGTTTATGTATAAAATAATTCGTTGTGAAAAAACAACAATGAACTTACAAATCGATCATCTTTTAATAAACATACAAAGGACCTTTTAAGCTTTACTATACACTTATTTGACAGTTCTTTTAAAGTTAGATAATTGTCCTAGACCATTCAATCGGAATGAATATATTTCTATCAAGAAATATACCCCATGTTTTAAACAACCTGACTTAACAATAAACATTTAATGGATACACTTTGAACCAAAGTAGTTATATGATTGTCTCATTGAGAATTTCATTTTTCTTATCTTCATTGAAGGAACAATAAATGTAAAAGTTATCTGTTGCAAGAGAGATATAAAAATCTTCTGGACGAATGATTGACATTAATTTCACTATTTAAAACATGAAATGACAAATATCATTAAAACAATCATTAAGAGATATTTTTCTACAATTCTGAAAGTTTTATAGTAGTTTTATTCTTATATTATTCTCATCACGTTATAAGGTATAATTCAACTGTTCTATTTGGGATTACATGGATAAATTCATGTGTTACTTGAAGACAGACAAATAGAATGTTATGAGAAAAGTGGATCGTTTTTTGTTATAACTTGTGCCTTGTGTTCTATTAATGTATAACGTAATGATACCGCCAATTAGAGAACTGTGAATTATCAACCGGACCAATGATGCATACAACCTGTACGAGCAGTCTAGAGTCATTTTCCGTCATGATTCCTGTCTAGCCCTACCTGTTAAGTCCAGAACACCAATCTCAGCCTCCGTGATATGAATCATTTATTTCAAACATACTGGGTTTATATACCAAACAATCAGACTAGATCGTACCATAAGATAGAAAGTAACATTTATACAAGATTTAGCCAAAAGTGGTTATGAATATGGGAGATAGTAATTGATAGACAGGACATAACTCAAGAATGGTAAATGGTATAATAATAGTTCATAGGTCAAAATGAAGCGTAGAATAAGAAGAACACAAATATGAATAGTTTAGTTATTTAACAATTATACAATAAAAATATACGTATAGTATTGATCTATAAATGGATCCCAACAGTTACCATTCATCCATTTGACCTTTTTCCTTCTGATATGGGCTTAATTAGATACGTTACATTTGACCATCCTTCGCATTCATAACTTGTTACATTCTTCATGTTTCATATAAATAGAATATTCCTTAACAATAATCTAACTTCAGTAGTTGAAATCATGAGTTATTTGAAGTTAGACCACCATAGAAAACCTGGAAGCACTGAACGGCCGTTCCGTCCTAGTATGGGACTCCTCAGCAGTGAGCATCCACGATCCCGCCCCCCTGCGAGATTTGATTCCAGGACCTAAGGAGTCCCATACTCGAAGAAACGGCCGTCCAGTTCTTCCAGGTTTTCCATGGTGGCCTAGCTTCAATTGACTCATGATCTCAACTATTGACATTTCTCCACACAACCCCTTCTGATAATAATCTAACTATTAAATAAATTATATTTTCCATTTAGGAATCTACTGAAATTTTCTACAGTATTAGGTATTAATCTATGTAATATTTTTGTATTTTAGAAGCAAGAAATGCTGGCTATTCAAAAAAGACGAGTTTTCTCAAATGATAATCTTCCCACGAATATGATGGTATTTACAGCGCTTGAAGGACAAAAATCTTCACAAAATAAAAATATTATACCACCAGTTTTAGAATCAGATAAAAGTTCATACCACAAAAAGAATTTAAAACATCATCAATGATAACTACATCCACTGTTACAATTGATAATAAAGATGAAAAACGTGCACCATTAGCTGCTTACTCAGATGATTCAATTAGTTCTACAAATACTACAAGTACAACAGATTCATCTAATAATGAATTGAATAAAATACATCAATCATCTAAAGGTTTTAATCCGGATACAATTACATCAATGATGGATGAAAGTAGTGATAGTACATTAGAAAATGTTCAATCAACAATAATGCCAACAAGTATTCTTAAAAGTTCTACTTCTAATCCATTACCTAATTCAAATTCTCCAAAACAGCGTAATCGTTTAAGTAGTCGTGGATCACGTGGTGTTATGTTTAATACAACAGTTACTGTAGATGATGGTTCTGAAGTGGTCCGTTTAAATTGTACATTAGATGATTCTGAATTGAGTAAAAATAAAGTACCACCAACTGATCGATCGAATTCATCACCATTAAGCAGAATTGGTGGAATGTCAGAAAGATTTTCTCGTTCAAAATCACCACATGTTAGTAAAATTGCTACACCTAAGTCGGGACTATCAACAGCCACTGTAAAAGGTTCTACAACATCAAGTAATAATTCATCGGAACCAATATTTACTTCACAAGTTAAAGGTAATCCTATTAAATCTTTTAATTTACTAAATTAAATTACAGGAGAAACAAAGTCAGACACAAGTTTGAGCAGTTTGGATTTCCCACAAACAAGTGAGTTTGGTTATAATGCACCTACACCACCACCCAGACGAAGCAGTCAGGTTACGACTACAACAGCAAATACAGATGAAGACAGTACATTGAAATCTACAACTTATTCCAGTAGGCAAGAAAGCGATAAGATTGAAACAGTCGTAAGTTTTACTTATGGAATTTAGGTAGGTTTAATTAAAATATTCTGAATTTGACGGGCTAGGTCTGGAAGTATATATATAATTCCTCAGAAATAAGGAGTGAGGAAAAAGCGATAAGTCATTACTTGCGTAATGTTCAGTCTTTGATAGGCTTAAGTTCAACCTAGATGTACTTTATATGTTTGGAGGGAATAGTTAACAAATCCACGTGTACGAGTGAATCTAAAAGTGAACCGGTAACTTAATAAACAATATGAGATTCACTTATATTTAACAATAGAAGCGTTGAACATCAATAACCAATTGCACCAACGTCACATTAAGACAAAATCTGATAATTAAAATTTACATTTGATAAAGTCTTTAAGTATACTTTGTTGACTTACTTACTTACTCTTGTTACTCCTCGTGGAGGAGCGTAGGCCACCCACCAGCACTCTCCATCCAGCCCTGTCCTGGGAAATCCTTTCCAGCTCTTTCCAGTTTTTATTCATTCTTTTCATATCTGCTTCTATTTCCCGACGTAATGTGTTCTTTGGTCTTCCTCTTTTCCGCTCCCCTTCCGGATTCCAAATTAGGGCTTTCCTCCTAATGCAGTTGATGATTTGCGTAATGTATATCCTATTCATTTCCATCGCTAACCAGAAAAAATGTTTTGTTTACAATTTGTTTTTTCGATCGTATGATTATTATCAACATTAGTCAATATTTGATTCAAATACCAAGAATGTAGTTCATATGATTGTCTTTGGACCTTTAAAATTTACACAACAGAGCACTTTCTTCTATGTAGCCTATAACGCTCAACACTTGTTCGGCTAACTATAAAATCTAAAAGAGGTTTCAAGTGATTGAAAGACTCAATTATAGTTTTTAATATCTTCCATCTTCATAGAATACATTTTTTTCAGATTTAAAAAAATACTTTGAAGTACAAGAAAGATTGATTACCATAGACAGATGAGCATACTTCATCAATACAACAGTTATAGATGAATAGATCTTCATTTCTCAATAGATCCAATAATTGCAATTTATGTTCTTTAGAATGTAGCCAACAACTAAACGACTACTTTTTTGAAGCTACGAATAACTACCGAACTAAATCATACGACTCATCTCATTGAAGTAATTTTTGATTAAGTCATAAGCTTAAACCCTACATAGTAATCTGATTTTTTCGATCGATTCAATTTTCGTATATTGTAATTTTATTTAAAATTTATTTGTTTGATGAACAAATTACCTTTTTATTGAGATCATGAACCGGTTGGTATTAGACCACCATTGAAAACCTGTAAGCAATGGACGGTCGTTTCGTCCTGTTGTGAGACTCCTCAGCGGTACGCATCCACGATCCCGCTCACGGGATTCGAACCTAGGGCTTTCGGCCTCGTGCTTGAACTCATAACCTTTAGACCATTGAGCAGGCATCCAACGGTGTTGATGTCTAACCTTAACCAATTCACAAAATTGCGCGACCATGATCTCAATCTAAAACCTAATAATCTCCACAACCCCATGCGCTCACTAGTGACTAGCTTCGCGGGGGAATTCTCGGAACTCTAGTGAGATGCCGTGACCAGTGGAGTTAATCCATGTCAAATAGAGACAGGTATCTACCTCAGACAATTGAAGATTGTCACGCAATTTCATGGATTGATTGAAGTTAGACATGAACACTGCTGGATGCCGGTTCAATTTTTAGGAGGTTAAGCATTCATGTGTGGAACCGAAGGCCCTAGGTTCGAATCCCGCGAACGGGGTCGTGGATACGCACTACTGACAGAGTTCAACAATAGGACAAAACGGTTGTTCAGTGCTTCCAGGTTTACAACCAATCCATGATCTCAATCCAAAACATAATAATCTCCACAATCCCATACTGATAACTTTTTTTAAAATGATTTCTTAGTGTTCATATTTCTCGTTAAATTATCAATATGGAATTAAAATTCTTTTAAACTAATTTTCTTTTTTTGTTATAGTCTTCAATTTCCAATAAACGACTACTTCCACTTCCTACAAATATTGAAGTTAATGAAAATGTAATAAGTCCATGTGAATGACAGATATTCTTACATAATCATAGTTTATTGTTCTTTCTTTTCTTTTTTTTAAATCAATGATTATCTTCGTGATCGAATCAAGTAATCAATCCATCTAAAATGATAACTATGGAGCTTTTTGTGTTTCAAGCCAACTATTGATAAATCAATGCTCAATAATTATTTCATTACACATTATGTACAACTAACATTTGAAAAGAAAAGTTTCTATCTTGTTTCCTTCTTTTTAGTGATTGTTCAGTACAGTTTTTTTGGTGTCTTTTCTTTTTAAATTTTTTATTCATTTTCGTCATTTTATTTCCCGATTTCTCTCTGTCTGTTTCTCTCTTTGAACTTTACCTTCTACTTGTACTCCTACCTCGCAAAGTGAATACTATGCAAAATGAACAGCAACACACACAAAAAAGACGAAACACCATCAAGACTGATGTGAAATAGGAGTTGTGATATAAGTATATTATTAAAGTATCAGTATAACTGTTTAATTTCAAATGAACTATACTTCATAATATGATCTTTAAAGTATTCTTACTACAGAATACATATTATTCATTATGAAATAAAGATCTCAATATAAGTTATACTAGTCTCAATTTATTGTTTCTTGTGTTTTCTCATTGTGTTTGCTTCTCTATCTGTTTATTTGTTTTGTTTTTATCATGAATCAATTCAGATATTCCTTTTTTGGTTGTTTGTTTGTTTGTCTAATCCATTTCTATTACAATTTTTATACATTTACTGCTGATTTCTTATTAACATTTTCTTTAAAAAAATCGCCCCACCCCCCTTGTTTCTTATTATGAGGATAATGATTAACTAATAATCTTATGTATCATATGTTTGGATTGATTTTCTAAATGTATAACCGAGTATGTATCTATGGGGTGGATGGAATTGATTAAATAACAAACTGTTCCACCATTTTTTTTCTCCATTACTTTAAATGAGTATTGTAAGATTTCGATAAGTATTTTTGTCCAATTACTTCTGTTTGTTTGATGTATTTGGTTTCTTTGTTTGTTTGTTTTTCTTTTAATTATTCTAGTGTATTTATTTCGTGTACATGTCAATAATTATGATGATAGGATAAAATTAAGATTTTGGAAACTAAATTTGATTTATTGTATTGAACATGAATGTTAGGAGGTTTAATGGTCACTTCTTACATAAGAGACACAATTATTAAAATACACATTGGAGGAAGGTATTATAGAATTAACACCACTAAATCACAATTGATTGATTACTGGGTGGTGATCAATATCATGTATGTCAAGTCCTTCTTAGTGTAGATCAAATGCTATCGACCAAGTTGCAATGTGGCCACCAGTCTAGGTGACTCGAGATTGCGTGCACTATGTTGAAATAAGATGGAGTGGTTGGAGGTAGTCAACAGGAAACCCTGGACCTCGGTTTCGTGCTATTTTGGCACTCGTTAGCAAGGTGTACCTGTAATCTTGAAGGAACTGGTGCTCCCTGATGGATTCGATCTCGTGTCACCCAGCTTCACAGTCAGAGACGTTACCACTGAGCTATCCGAGCCGTGACTAACCTCCTGTAGGACTGTGATGTAATCACAATTGATTGATCACTGGGTGGTGATCAATGTCATGTGTGTCAAGTCCTTCTAATTATCACTAATTCTTTATCTTAAAAATAAGTTTACAATGTCTATTTAGGTATTAATCAAAAAGATGACATAAACTTGACACATGTGTCATCTTAACACCAAAAGTATTATGTTATAAATGATTGGCTGGATCGAATATCTTAATTAATATCTTATTTTCGAAGTGTCATATTTATAAACTAAATACCATGGTTTGAATTTACAGAAAATGTAACAAGTTTGATCACATTATATACTAATCGAGGAATTTGAAATCTAATACATTTATATAGTTCACTAAAATTGATGTGCGATATGATAATCTTACTTTGGTCATATTTTCATATTTCAGAAGATTCAATGGTCAGTTTTGAAATTCTCTATCTAGTGAAGCTTATCAAAAAATATCACTTAAACTCACTGATAAAAATGAGATCAAGTGTTGAAATCAACAAATGAATCGTCCCATTA